AGATGTTCAACTTTGGAACTGCCAAACCAATGGTACACTGGATCTGATTGTAATTAATCGTGCCCGAACAAGCTTGCTAACCAATACACTCGCTGTAGATTTGGATCGGAAAACGACGGGACAAAGACTGACGTGTGCAAGGCGCCCTGGAGCAAATGAACTGCATAAAGCCTTCACTCGAAAAGGCAAAGCCCACGTAAATATTGGGCGCGAGACTTACTTCAGCAATAGCGACGGACGAGACTTCGTGCCAGAATAGCGATGCTGGCCGATACCCAAAATTGGGCGCACATTCCTATGCACAACGCTCAACGTCGCCCGCGAAATGCATTTCCGAATAACCAGAGCATGCCTGGATGTGCAATTGCACTGCAGATATGCACTTGAAAGTGGGCGCTGGCATCTATGATGATCCCCCCACACAATACGTTCTTGCACTCGCAACGCTTGTGCTGCAACCCATGTATGATGAAACCAGTGGACTGCGATCTATATGGTGCAATCAACACGCGATGCCACCACCGTGGTGCAGTCGCTTGGGTACAATTGACTATGAGAACCCGCGCGCGACCAACACACATGTTCGAATGAACGCCCCATCCACCCGCAACTTGTTTGCAAAAGTCACAAGGTCATGAGTGCAGCTATCCATCGACACTTGCCTGCACATCTCGACAGTCGCACTGACAAACAGGTCGTGCGCATGCAGATCCATGACTCGGGGGGGCGACGTCGACGACCATGGTCACAATGGTGATGGTGGTGGCGATGATGACGAGGGCGACAGTGACGACGAAGACGACGATAATCGCGACGGTGGTAATGATGACGACGGTGCTGGTGATTGTAAAGACAACGATGGCACTGGTGACGCTGGCGATGATTATGTTGATGATGGTGATGATGACGATGACGATGACGATGACGATGTCGATGATGATGATGATGATGATGATGATGATGATGATGATGATGATGATGATGATGGCGATGGTGCTCATGCTGGTGAAGGAAAAATGCGGACAACAACTCTGACAGCCGTTCCAGTGTAGAAGAATGGGAATTATCAGTGGGAAATCATGTGTCTTGGAAACCTCTCAATGGAAACATGCGTAGGAAGACTATTGCGTTGCAGTGACTTCGGTATGCGCGCGGCGACGGGCGCGTACGGCCGTCATATACATGGCTGACAGAATTGGCGGGTTTGGTGAGCTTGCTATACGATGTCGACATGCGCACGCGTGCGGCCCACATGATCGCATCTGATAAAACGACGGAGAAAAACTGATGGCTTTGTGTGACTTCAACGAGCCCGCGCGAAATGAGAATCTGTCAGATCTGCAATGAAGAGTAACACTGGGATTAAATATGCGATGGATGCTGTGCCAAGCCACTCAAAACGGTTTCGACTAGATTTCGACATGTGGGTTCGCGTGCCGCCTGCATGCAATAATAACTCTACATTGCAATGTCGCATGCCCGCGTGCAGGCGGCATGCTCTACAAGTTGAAGGGGGTGTTCATACTGGCCTCCTGCGCAGGTGGCAGCTGGTATTTTGGATGGACGCACATGCAGACAATATATAAATACACATATATGTATGTCCAAATACTCACCACGCAAAAAAAACTTGCATTCAGCGTTTGTACTTCTGATCTGAAGAACTGGGCTGATGTGGCGGTCTGGCGGATATGTTATCGCCGTCGCCGTCCCGTCGCTGCCTCGTCGCCGCTGGTCGTCCAAGGCCATGTGACCAGTCTGGCGGCTATGTTCTCGCCGTCGCCGCCCCGTCGCCGCCTCGTCGCCGCCCGTCGTCTGGACCGTGTGGGTGGTCTGGCGGCTACGTTGTTGCCGTCGCCGACCTGTCGCCGCCTCGTCGCAGCCCGTCGTCTGGGCCGTATGATCGGTATGGCGGCTATGTTGTCGCCGTCGCCGCGATGTCGTCGCATCGTCGCCCTACGTGGCCTGGGCCGTTGCGTCTGTCTGGCGGCTGTGTACTCGCCGTCGCAGCACCGTCGCCGCATTGTCGCCGCCCGTCACCTGGGCCTGGCCTTCTGCCTGGCGGCTCTCTACTCGCCATCGCCGCACAACAAAGATTGCACAACAAAAACCGCAACACGAATATTGCAGAACATAGGTCGCTCCGCATGGCTTGCACCACCCAGGTCGCACAACAAAGATTACACCACATAGGTTCTCCTTCTTAAAGAAAGAATAGAGGCTACCCCCCCGGGCGTTATCGGTACACATTTTTGTGCTGCAATTTACACATGATTTTGCCCAACTGTACATCCTGAATTTAAAGTCTACCAGCCCACCCGCCGTCCTTTGCAATCAAAGCTATGCGCGTACGCTCGTTTATCAAAAATCCCACGTTTCAAACATCCTTATGCAAACGAAGAATCGAAGTGCGCACGCGCGCGTCGTCGCACGCGCATGCCAGAATCCTTCAAAACCATAGGTTTCGGATGAATTTGAAAATTGAGTGTAACATAACTATACGGTTTCGCAACACGGCGTTTCAAACAAACGCGCGCGCACGCTCATGCGAATTCGTACGAAAACCATATGTGTATTTTAATATATTTATATATATACATATATATATATAACAAAATACTACCAAACGGGCTTCGCGCGCGCGCATGTTGAAATCGTTCGAGCGCTCTTGCGCGCGCGCCGTCGCGAGAACTCTTTGCAAACAAATGGAGCGAATTGCACGCGCGCGTGCCAAAATCCGTCAAACAACTTCGGTCCCGTAGTGACTTCAGAACTGAATGTCCAACAGACATTCAAAAACATATAGACTCGCAGCGCAGGCTTTCAAACAAAGTTTGCGCGCGCGCTCTTGCGCAGTCTTGAAAAACTGAAGGTTGTTCATCATGCTCATAGAATTCTGTCAAACGGACCTCTGGCGCCGCTGGCCGACACCATTCGAACGCCCTTGCGCGCGTGGTGGGGGGCACCCAGCGGTCAGCGCCGCCGCGGCCGCATCGGTGGCGCCAAACTAGCTGGCCGCTGCGCGCTTCGGTTGATGCGGCCGCAGAGGTGCACCAGCCAACGCCAAGCACGCATCGCAATCAAGTTGCGGGTGGGCGGGTGGATGTTAGCAAGAGCATGGGATGTGTCAACTCGTCTGTTGAAGTCAATCGCACCACATAGATTCCCCTTCTCTAAGAAAAATGAACTCGACAACCTCCCCCCCGACACGATCGATACCCTTTTTGTATTGCAATTTACAAATGATTCTGCCCCATCGCCCATCCTAAATATGAAAACCCACCATCCCAGCCGAGCCTGGTTCGACCTCCCCGCCATCACCGGCAACAAATACTATGCGCGCGCAGTCGCTCATCACAAATCATGAGTTGTCAGAAATCCCTTACACAAAACAAAACAAAGTGCACGCGCGCGCGTCGTCGCGCGCGCATGCCAAAATCCTTCAAACATATTCGGTTGCGTAAGGGTTGCAAGTCCGAATGCCCAAACAACATATAACATCACATGGTTTCGCAACGCGGGTTTTCAAACCAAACTTGCGCGCGCGCTCTTGCGAAGTCTCAAGGAGACCATGCGTTTTCAACATTTTCATAAACTGCTACCAGGCGGGTTTAGCGCGCGCGCGTTCCGCAATCGTTCGGACGCCCTTGCGCGCGCGCCGCCGCGATCACTGTTTGCAAACAGTTAGACGAAATGCACGCGCGCGCATCGTCGCGCGCATGCCGGAATCCGTCAAACACCTTCGGGGTCGTGATGATTTTGAAACCGAAGGTTTTTTATATAAAAAATGATGGGGGGGGGCACGATCCGCGCCAGATGAAGCCGCGCGGGCCGCTCTCGCGCGTCGGCCGCGCGCGCGCGTCGAGCTCTTTCCAAAACCTTCACCGCCGACGCGAGGGCGCCGTCATCGACGACGTGATCAGCATCGGCGCCCGCGTTGGCAGCGCCGTCGTCGTTGTCAACATCGTCGTCAGCATCTCTACTATCATCGCGTCTACCGATGTCGACGTCGCCATGATACCGCGCCCGCCCAAGTCGCCGACTCGCAGCGAAGTGCCAGCTGGGATGCGCCCGGCGGTCAGCGCCACCGCGGCCGCGTCGGTCGTGCCAAACTAGCTGGCCGTTGCGCGCGCGCTTGGGTTGGCGCGGCCGCAGAAATGGACCAGCGAACGCCGAGCTCTCATCGCAATCGACACCGCATGAGTTTTGCAAACCAAGTTGCGGGTGGGTGGGTGGGATGTTTGCAAGGGCATGGGATGTGTCAACCCGTTTGGTAAAATCTGATATTCTTTTTAAAAAGAGAGAGAATATATTCGACCACCCATCCCACCCCCCGACTTATCGACTCCCCGGGAACCTATGCAAAACACGAATGGTTCTGACCCAGTGTCCATCCGACCTGGAAATTCATACTATCCCAGCCAAGCCGGTATCGCCCCCCCCCCCACTCGGCTGTTGCATATATATATATATATATATATATATGCGCGCTCGACTCTCAAAAATTAGAAGTTGTCTAAAATCCCTTTGCAAAGAACGGGACGAAGTGCACAGGCGCGCGTCGTCGCGCGCGCATGCCGGAATCCTTCAAAAACCTTCAGTGTCGGAAGGCTTCAAAATTGAGCGTCCAAGAACATACAACAACATATTATGTTTCGCACCACGGATGTTCAACAAACACGTGCGCGCGCTCTTGCGAATTCTTAAGAAAACCATGCGCGTTCAGCCGCATGCGGCGCGGCACGCCGCATTTGAGACCAGGGCGCTCACGCGGGACCTTGCGCGTGCAATTTATGCGCCAATGTCAGCGCCGACGAACCCGTTCTTCTGCGTCGCGCATGTGCACATCATTCTCGCCAGCCGCATCGTGTGCATCCAGCTTCCTGGCCATGTCCCAGGCGGGGGCCTGAAGCGGCCGCCACGCGAAGGAACAAAGACAGACAGCGCTCGCCTTGTTGGGGGGTGTCCGCAGCGCCTGCGAGGGACGGGGTGGGGGCGGCCTTCGACAGCAGCACGGAGCCGGCGTCCCTGTAGCCCAGTGACGACGCCGACAT